GACCGCCCCGCGACGCGCCTACCACTCCTCAATATCACCCCTGGCGAATGGCTCTTCCACCCACTGCTAAAGAACCAGACTTGGAGCCGGACGACTAGCACGCCCCCTTCTCGCCGCCCCCTCGCCATGGGCAACACCCAAACCCTCCCCTGGACGCGCCGGCCCAAGCTGCCGCCCGCCGACATCTTCCACATGCTCGACGTCGACCGCACGCACCGCCTCACGCTCAAGGACCTCATCGCCGCCGCCGACGCGGGTCTCATGATGCCGCATTCGCTCCCGGCCCTCTACTTCTTCGACAAGGACAAGGACGGCACGCTCACGCACCCCGAATTCAACCAGCTGCGCCACTTCTGCCTGTCCGAGAAGCGCAAGGTCGAGGACGCCATGGTCGACGACAAGCCGTTCCGCGACCTCATCCTGCGCGCCTCGCGCGCCGGCGTCAAGGACTGCTCCGTCCACGGCCGCTCCTCGTTCCGCCGCTTCTCGTCCCACTCCAACGTCCGCTCCGTCTTTTCGTCGCGCGACCGGCCCCACACCTCCTCCCCCAATTTGACCCCGCCGAGCCCGGAGCCCTACCCCAGCCCTGAGTCCGATCCCCGCAACCCAGACTCTCGCCACTCTTTCCCCGCCCAGACCCACCACGCTTCCGACCCTGACCGCCCCAGGTCTGAGTCCTCTGTGTCCAGCGACCAGCCCGACGACCACGCGCACAGCAACCTCCCCCCGCGCGACCGCTGCGTCGCCATGTATTCGTCGCAGCGCGAGTTTTCCGCCCAGTGTGAGGGGGACGACCCTCCGAGCAAGTCCGACTCCAATGTCCAGGACCCGAAGAATCGCACCGCCATTGATGCTGCTGTCGTGGAGAATATCATGCGCGCAAACATCCACAAGCTGGCAGACTCGCTCCACTCAGAGGGCTCCAGGGAAAACTTTATGGAGTGGCTGTGGAACTTGACCAACTTCAATGAGAGTGGCGTCGTAACTCTGGCGGAGCTCAGGGTCTTGTTGTCGGCGTTGGAGGAGGATGGCATTGACTTGGAGGAACTTGTTTTTTACAAGGAAGTCGGTGCCCCGCTGGAGGAAAGTATTATTAATGAGTTTGACATGTCGCACGCGGGGCTGCTGAGGAAGGAGGAGTTTCTGGTCCTAGCGGATCTGATAACGAGGGAGTACGAGTTTTGGGAGAACCGCCATCTCGAGCGCATTGGCGACTACGAACTCGGCCGCACCATTGGGCGAGGGAGTAGCGGCGTCGTCAGGCTCGCCATGCATGTCGGCACGCGTGAAAAGGTGGCCGTTAAGATTATCAAGAAGGGCAAGTGCTCGGACATGAGCAGGCTCGACCGCGAAATCCAGTCGCTCATGGGCGCCAAGCACGAGCACATTGTGGCCCTCAAGGAGGTGCTCGATTCGGAGAACAATCTCTTCATTGTCATGGAGCTGTGCGGCGGCGGGTCGTTGGTGGATATCGTTCGCTTATATCCGGAGGAGCGAATGCCAGAGGAAACGGCGCGCTTCTTTATGAGGCAAGTGTTTGAGGCACTCGCGTTTTGTCATCGCAACTACATCTGCCACAGAGATGTCCGCTTGGATAACTTGCTGCTCGACAATATCGGAAACGTTAAGCTCACCGATTTTGGGCATAGCGGTATCTACTCACCAGGCTGGGATCTTTTCTCCACGTCCTTGGTGGGCTCTCTGTACAACTTGTCCCCGGAGCAAGTGGCAGGCCAATGCTACAGTGGAGAAAAGATTGACGTGTGGTCGGCCGGAGTGGCCGTGTACTGCCTTCTTATCGGTCGTCCCCCATTCTTCGAAGCCGAGGTGCAGACGCTGTTGAACAAGATTAGGGATTGTGATTTTGAGATTCCAGACTTTCTCTCGCCGCAGGCAGCAGACCTCATTCGCTGCATGATCCGGGCAGCCCCAGCGGAACGCATCACCATAGAGCAAATGCTGCACCACCCGTGGTTTTACAACGGTCCAGAATACGGCCCCTGCATGAATGTTGTAGTGATTCCAGTTGACATGGTATTCACCAAACGGCCTGGAGTCGCAGGCATCACCATGGCAATAACGATTTACCAGCACAACCTTCACTTCCACCTGGCTGATTCCAGCAACCGCAACTCTGCCCCAGAAGATCAAAGGGGCCAAGAGTGGACGCTCAAGTGCCTGGACCCGAGAAATGACATCAAGTTCTCCGTATCCTTATTCACGAGGGAACCGGATCCAGGACCCAAGAATGGCAGGGTGCGGTTCCCCATGTCTGCGCGCTCGAGTTGTTCTCAACTTCCGGAGGTGGGGTCCCCAATGGAAACGCAGTCTCGTTTGCGGAGAGGTGCGTCGACTGGAAACTCACCGGTAAGTGGTAATCGAGGCCCCTCATTTGGCGCTCACAAATCTGTCACATCGGCTATGCAGTCCCTTGACGAAGAGAAGCTCGCAGACGTAATATCTGGTGAAGATGGTCATTCATCGTCGGGCCTCTATGGGTCAAGACCACCAGTCCCGCGAAGGCTTGTCAAGATAACGCCGTTGAATATCGCAGCCCACATCCGAGACCACGCAGATGAAGATGGAGATTTGTTCGAAAAGTTCGAGTTCCGGACACATTCTAAACTCGCTGATGCCGAAACATCGCGAGAAGAAATGGAGTCCTTTACGTCCTCGTCAGCACGGGCCCCATCTTCGCGGAACAAGCGAAAGAGTAGACATGGTCGCTCTCGCTCTCTGAATGACTCGGAACAGTTTAAACATTTGAACCGTCCTGCCGCCGTGGATGCCTTTCCGTATCAAAAGGTATACCCGCAACGCGAAATGCCGGAAAGTGCTCGTTGCTTCACGTTTGACAAGCCGAAAACGACTGCCGCACCAATCTCGGATGGACTTACTTTGAAGATGGAAGACAGGATGCTTTCGATAACGGATGCTTGTAGCACGAAACAACTGTATCGATTCCATAGGAGCGCGACGCTAAACGCGTTATCGTCTTTCACAACAGACGCTGGTGCGAGATCAGTTGGGTTTGGGAACCAGATGGAGTCGATCACGGAAACGGACATCAACACAGAGCTCTTGCGACACCCTTCCAAGGCTGTGTCTCCTCAGTCGCCGATGATCCACCCAGCGGTTGGACCTCACGACCTTGACGGAATTGGCGATTTGACCCTGACCACATCCTCGCAATCTGAGGATGAGGATCCGCAGGGTCGTGAGCATGTACCATCAATCGACAAAAGTCGTTTCGAAAGCACCAGACAAGGCGGAGCAAATGAAGCCGAAGAGGTATTGCCTGCACATGCGTTCCAGCCTTACATTGAGGTGCGACTGAATAGGGGGGAAAGCGGCGTGTTTCTAAAGATTTGTCGAAAGCTGAAAACGATTTGCTTCACCAAGCTTGCTGCGGCTGCGGAGCGTGAAAAGACTAAAGCGGCCGGACCGAAAACATGGTCGACACTACGTCGGACTTCGTCTTCGAGAAGCATCGATTCTGAAGTGACGGCAGACAGGATGGACTTGTCGGCGAGAGCTACAAATTTCGAGAGTAGAGCTCAAAGCGTCGCGGGCTGAGCGCGAATTGGTTCTACAACGCTCCGGCAAATGTTCACCTGCGAATCTCCGACCTTGCACATACTACCTTGCATGTGGACATTCGCTGAGTGCTTCTTGTAGTCAAGCAGTATTTTGAACAGTTTTTACAATAAAATGTATTCGCTGCATCACCACGACCCTTTCGCCGACCGCTACCACCTGACAGATTGCTTTCGCAAGTTTGGGCCGTTGTGGTTTTCTGCACAACACGAAAACTGAGGAATGAAATAGTTCTGAATTGTTAAACGGCCGTCACGGTTTGACTCTTACCTAACATGCGCGCGACATGTTTAGTCGTGACACAAAAGCATAATCATGCGGGGCCTCGCCCTCTGGCATGACCTTGTGGCATGATAAGAAGCGCTGGTTCCTCACATCGAGAGGACGAGACGAACTGGATTGCCCAGAGATGCAGGGAACGCAAACCTGATCACTCTGCGTTCAAAGGAGAAGAGAAACCCACCCGAGGAACGAAGGTCAAAGAATGCAAGTAAAATGCACAAGATCCGTGGCGTCGGACATAGCCAAAGCCACACGGACATGCGTGGACCCCGATGCAAAATTTGCATCCAATGCGATGTTTCGTTGGTGAAAAATAATTGGCCGTTGAGTTCAAGGTTCGTTTTGATTGGCCTTCGCTGCTTTTTGGGAACCTGTGATTTTCATGTAAACTTTTGGTGCATGTTCAGAGAACGAACCCGTCTCTCTAGTGTCTATTGGACAATGCGCCTCATTTGAGGATTTCGCCTCATATGAGGCTTTTTTGCCGCGCCGTTTCTGGCGCAAAGAGGGAGAACTGAAAGCCATAGTTACCGCGAAACAGTAACAGTAAGAGTAAAAAACAATGTCCAAGCCCCTTGAAGGCACCTAGAATGCACGGTATTTAGGAGGGTCTTTCTAATGCTCTGACAGACAGGAAAAATCCTCATGATCAAAAACGTCCGTCCAATAGACACTGGAGTGCATCCTCCACTCAAAGGATTTCGCAGATCGGGGCTGATACAGGGCCTGGCGGGCTCCAGGAAAATAATTCAGCAACTAGTGCTCGGTGGCGATTAACGAGAGAGGGGAACGTCTTGCGGTTATTTTTCCTTTCTGCGTATTCTCTTGCAGGGAAGGGATATGCAAAGACCCAATGTTCCAGCACCACGTAGCCGCGTACCTCTGTAGATGGGAGGCATAGAGGCAGGAAGGGATGGCGAGGTAGGAGAGTGGCTTTTCATGATTGGCTGTAGATCTCATGACGGTTTGGTATCCGAAAAGCGAAATATGTGTTGGCTTTTTGTCCGAAGATGTTACATTACAAAGACTGCAGCGACCTCGGCAAGTGATGGAAAACATTAGAAACTGGCACGTATTTGCAGCATGGTATGCATGTCACGACGTTCTCTGTAAAGAACAAATGGTAACACGATGGATCAATCTGCAATGCCGTTTTGGGCACAAAGTGGCGTATGAAGCAAAATGAGTCAACATTTGAAAGATTACCGATTACATGGAATGAAGAGTGCAACATCCGTGCGAAATCATACGAACGTCGAGTTTCGTGAACTACATAAGGGTGATCTAGCAGAATTTCGTGTAGTCTTCAACGTGTGTCCGACTAGAATTGTCGCTGGAGGGCGGCCAAGGGGGGAGGAGCTGAGAGTAAACCCTGATGTGAACTCGTGTAACAACGCCAATGGAATGAATGCAGGTCATCTGTCAGAAAAGAGAGAAACATTTCTAACACACCGTTGACAAACAATCAGTACGGCCGAGTATCCTCTGAAACTGGAGTCTTTCCGGTTACTCGAGCAAGTTTTGGCTCCAAACCCAAAGAAACAGACAATGATCTTGACATAATCTGCGCCCTTTGTCTATTCTCTGGGTTAGACGGTGCATGGAGACCCCTGGATACACGCCATGCTCTGATAGATGCGCCTGGGAAATCCCTTCTCCGGGGCCTCCCATCCCTGCGTGCGCTGCTTTCATCTATCAGCACCTCGGTGAATCAGGAACGTCGCCCTTTCTGCACCCCACAGTCTCCTCACAATGCTAGAGCATATATTTCTCATCCTCGAATGAATTTGTATATAACCTCATGCTCAACATCTTCTACCTGCCTTTATCTCCTTCCTCGTCAGCCTCCAATACTTTTCTGATATCCAACCTCGAATAGTAACTGAGATTCTCCGCAAGATCTGGAAGCCATTTGAAATGACGGCCGTTCCGAACGTTGCAGATTCGCTTCCCGTGGTCCCTAAAACTACTTCTGAGGAGTTGGAATCTCTGCCAAGCACCCTCGTCTTTTCTGAAGTCGAACAATCTCCCGATTACGCCCAAAAGCCCATGTCTGACTCTCCACCCTGCCAGCCTACATCTGCAGCCAAGGCCAGGCAGTTTTCTTTTCGAAGTGTCCCCGCGCAACAAGGTTCTCCGAATCCTCCAAAGCGCACTTCTTCGCTGAGGGCTCTCTCTCGCGGTTCTCGACCGCCCTGCCCACCATCAAGGCCGTCTTCTTTGCCGTTACCTCACTTCAAACATCACTCTACTCAGCTACACGCTGCCCCCATCGGAGCGATAAAAGAGGCGAACATGATCAGAGAAATGGTCAACTTTTTCTGCGATCCTATTGACGATCTTTTACCTGGTGGCATCGTTTCTCCTAACCTACCGTCTCTTGTAGCTTCAGAAAAAAAAAAGGCCCAAGCCACAAAGCCGAAACCCAAGACATCTGATGCGGCACCTGTACCACGTGACTGTACTCCCCCATCCAAGCACTCTGGGGGAAATGCTTCAGGATGGCAGCAAAAGAAACTGGAAGAGAGAGCAGATGTGAAGGATCCGCTTCAGTTTACAACAAGAGCAACAGAAATGACCCATGATAAATATGCAGCAAAAGGGTTGACCTCTTTATCAAAAACACACGATGTCTTTTAAGGCGCGAGTTTGTGTTGCGATATTCAGTCTCAAACCCCTGGAAGCTCTTCCCGTAGACCTGAGAGCATAATACGTCCTGGTAAAGAGCAACAACAACGTATATCTAAACCAAGGGATCTTTGGTATGAAAGGCTTCAGGATGATAACCGACTGAAAACAGAAAAAAGACTCAGTTTTTTTCTGGACCAAAACGTGATCGATATCCCTAGAAGTCAATTTTATGTACGAAATTTCGTACACAACTGTTCTTTTGTCTGTAGTTCGCGAACTACGGAACGTCTACAGGGTCCTTTCGAGCTTTCACGAGATTACAATGCTGTCTACATCCGCGCGAAGACAGAAAAGGAAAAGATTGATTCGTTCCTATTTGACAGCTCCGCAAAAGTTGCTCAATAATAACCTCACAAATCAGCCAAAATCCCTTTGTGTACGAATTTTCGTATATATGGACTACACAATACAGCAGATGTGGTGCGTTTGTGAAGGGCATAACTTCTCCTTCGGACTAGAAAACTCCCTCCCATTCCACTCTCGCATTCTTACACCGCACTCTACAATCCCTCTCGTGCTCTCCTGCTGCCATTCTCAGGGCACTGGGAGCGACTCTTTTCTGTTGCCCTGTTCTTGCTTGGCACTGAATCGGTTGGCCCTGACCGAGAGTGTGGTCACATCGTTCCACAATTCGGCATTATTGCGATGTCTTCCGCGCGCAGTCATGACAGCCGCGTTGTACATTTTGGGCTTCTTTGGAGACCTAATGGTCTGCAGTGACACAGAGCTTCTTTCGCTCGACGCGATAGACTCTTTACATCAACTTCATGGTGCTGATTGTCGGGTGTGCCGAAACATTTGCAGTCGGATGAATTTGTGGTATTGAGGATCAAATCGGGTGCCTCGGATAGATACTGGTCGTTGACTACATGGCGGCGATCTCTTCGCTGTTCGCGTTTGCCTCTAGGTTATGGTTTGGGGTGAAGTCTAGAGCGCTCATGAAGCGATTCGTTTCGTTTGGTGTGTATGTCGCGTTGGTGACTGGCGTCATCCTGTTGTGTTTACGGGTGAAGAAGGATCCGTCTAAGAATTTGTCGTGGGCGAGCACGCTCAGATATTGTTGAAGAAAGGAACTCTTCTTCCAAAGTGATAGTCGGTATGGGAGTAGTTACAGACCCAAATCCTTTTGTGGGATCGTTGCGGTTGCACAGATTCCGACCCCTTCCTCCTCTCCTGCTGCCCCTACGAACGCCTCTGAAACTACCTCGACCTCCATATCGGCCCCGCGCATGTCCACGGCCACGTCCCCGTCTTGGTACAGGGTTAACAGGACTCCCTGTTGTGTTTGGAATGACCTCGGCCATAAGATAGGATTTTATCTAATCGTGTGAATGTTGACGGTGTCTGCGCGGCCCAAAATCACTTTTGAACGAAAATGAAGTTATGAGCAAGTATTGAGACTGTCAGCTATTGTCCTGTCGGATCAGGGGCGTATCGAAAGTTCCGAAAGCAGGCTTCTGCGCCACCAAAGATCTGCTTCTGAGGGCACATATGTACGAAATTTCGTACATAAGGTCTTGGCGCCAAGATCCAAGAATCTCAGTATGTACGAAAAATCGTACATATGAAGTCTAGGGATATCGATCACGTTTTGGTCCAGAAAAAAACTCAGTGAGCGATAACAGCACAACTGCATTAAGTGAGACTAAACAATCCTTGGAATGGCTTGCACATGAACGAGACGGATGGGGATGTCCTCTGCGGCAGGAACAGGCAGCAATTCCATCATCCCCGGTGCCTGAAGTTGGTGTAAACAAAGGTTGTAGAGGACAGAAGCCCTTCATATACCAAAAAGTTCATTTAAAATTCCGATATCCTTTTCAGAGTGCAGGTGCCACGAGGCACCTCGACCTCAATGTAAAATGGACAAGCAGAATAGAAGAGTGTGCGATTGGATATCTTTCATAGAATACAGCGATACACGGAGCTGTTCCGCGCGGCAGAAGAAAACAGAAGTAACCTTTTGGGAAGAACGAATCTAATCAATACGAGAATGTCCCAAAAGGTGTCTTTTTCTTCGGATTTCGGCTCGCGCTGGCAATCAGAACTTCGCCTGAAATTGAAAGACTGGCTATTCGCTTTTCCCCCAGACAAAGTGTAACCTGCATTGAAGCATGAAGTTTTAAGGTATCACCGTGATCCTATTCACGCACTTGGTCCTACT